TAGAATAATTAAAAACATACTCTCCGATCGTCGTTGTCGTCGCCGTCCGCCTGTGCGAATATTGTGGCCATGTTTGGCTGAGTATGAATACATTAACGATGAAAATGTTTAGTGCTAACAGGAACTCCGACAAAAAGCTTATTCAAGACAAGTAGCAACAGCAGCACCAGAAAAAAACGCCATGCAAATAACATGAAGTTGGAAAAAGCGACAAGGAATATGGTTTAAGACCAAACGATGACTGCAACACCGATTCGGCCAAGTCACTTTGTACTGCTCTCTCGCTCGAAAATTCGCAAATTCAAATATGTCTCCATACACGGTACACACAGAAATGGAATAAATAAATATAGAGACGAATGTTCCGCGCTCCTCGCACTCTAATACAAAACACCCGCTCTCTTTCTATGTCTCTTTTTCACCGAACTCTCACTTCACTACGAAACACACAGAAGTAACAAATAACTGTAAGGAAAAGTGAATGAAAAATTTATGGAAAAGTTAATCTGGTTGAAATTTGAAATGTTTATAAATGGTCTCACATAAGTGTAATATGTATGCTTTTGCCGGGCGCTTGTTTGCTTCAAGTTCGAACATAAGTGAGCTGGGAAACTATGTTGTTGTGTGTTTTTTGCGCATAAACACACACACACACTCACGATGGAAGAGAGACGAGAATGTTTGCAATGCACGAAATGCTGCATAATACAAAGTTGTGTGTAACGGTAGCGCCGGCATTCATTGGACTTTGGTGGTGGCAGTGTCGGCAATGGCGGAAGATGAGGCTAAAACACAAGTTGAAATCGAGTTGCTCATATGTTTTGTTGTCGCTGTGCAACTCATCCAAATGTTCGAGTAGAAACGAGACGGAAGATCGAATGAATGAAGGCGAGTTAGTGCCGAGAATTTGTGCATCGTTAGCCAGTAGCATACTATGTGTGCTGGATGGAATCCGTTTTGCTGCCACCAACTAGAAGCACCGGCAGAAAGAGAATCGCAATTTTGCTACAAGCAGAGATATAATCCATTTGGCAAAGCACACATACGACTCAAATGATGTACTGCTGCTGTTGTTGTTGTTGGTCGCTTGCATTTCATTTTATTTGTTGCTAACTATTCGAAATGGATTCATGAAGAAGTGCAATACATTTTCACTGGCTGGACTTGAAAGCGCACACATCCAGCCAGCCAAAGCACACAGGAAAAAAAAACACACACACCTATAAAAACAGATGCTTGCCATTATTTGACTCGAAAACAAATTGCCCGCTAGTAAATTTTCATTGTGAATGCACTTTTTTCGTAGTTTTTTGGCTGTTTTCGGTTTCTGGTTTTTCGCCTAGATATATTCGTTGTTTTTCATTGCTGTTGTTGTTGTTGTTGTTGGTGGTGGTGTTGTTTTAGTTCGCGCTGCGCTGGCCTTCATACATTTACGAATTTACTATTATTCGGTATATTTTGTTTATTGTTATTATTACATATTGCAGTTGTTGCGTTGTGAGAATGAATGCAAGTGCTTATTATTGTTGTTGTTGTTGTTTTTTCTGCTTGAGCTGTTCTCTGCTGCCTTTGATAAGCAACAAAAGTTCCGGAATTTGCTGCAAATGAGCAACGGTCACGAATTTATTTTCCATTTGTGTGCCGCAATCTCAGTCGCCTTAAACACACACACACACACACACTCCATATTATAAAACCTGAGCATAAATGGAACAGCTACAACAACAATAACGACAACGTCGACGATGGCTATGCCGATGCATGGTGTGCGGTGATGCGAGGAGAAAAAGACAAACGAAAATGGACAAATAAACAAATGAAATCGAAAGAGAAAACGAAGGAACGAATAGTTTGTACAAACCAAAAACATTGACCAATTTTCATAGAAAATACACATTCTCATTCTCAGTGGCATATATGGATCATTTGTGGTTGTTGCTATGGTGTTATACCCTCACCTTAACAATCCAAAAGCATATCAGCACAACACTCAAAATACTGATGATGACCACCGTATTGAATGTATTGCCAGAAATGAGATTTTGATTTCATTCGAATGTTCAAACTGTACCAATTTTTCAATTCTATTTCCTAGTGCTGAGGGATAGAGAAAGAGAGGGAGCAAGAGAAAGAACGGGAGAAAGAGCATTAAATAGATGTGCATTCCAGATTTTCAAACACTACCGAAAAGCAACTTCACTCTTGCAAATCACATTCCACTCTCATAACACACATTCGATCATTTACTATCTGACTCTGAAAACTATTAATTAGATGATGAAGAAGAAAAACTAGCAGTTGAATAAACATACGAATATGATGGTGATCATGGAATTTACTGGTGATGCTTTTAATGCTAACCAAAAATCCGATCTAACACACATCTGATGTGATAACAAGTATAAAACCGAAAAACCACTCGATTGCATAGCAAATCATTAGCAAACATTTCGTTATACAGATATCCATCTCGCATTTCTCCGGCATGCAGTCAGGTCGGTCTAATGCTACCAAAGTTAAGAAATGACCATATCAGATAGACGAAATTGGCATCTCGCAACATGCATATTTTCCTATTATTATATAAAAGAATAGTATGTTTCTTTGTTGTTAATGGTGTTGTTGGTTGCTTGTGCTAAAGAAACCTCACATTGAATCGTAGTGGATAACGATATATTCACCGGAATAAAAGCAAAAATAGATGAAATGCGAAGGGTTGTAGCAGTTGTATGATCGGCACATGAGCACCATCTCTACTGATTGCCATTATTGCAATGTAAATGAATAGAATGTCTTCTTCTTCTTCTTTTTCTCAACATCAATTGCATACGACTTATGGTAACTCTCCGTAATCATTAGAGGTGGCGCTACTTATGCTCATCAATTGACTTTTGCATTGGCTCTTATATACTGTGCGTGCCTTTTGATGAAACAAAACACAAATCAACCTGTCGAATTTTTCAAAAATGACTCCAATAAAATGAACGAATTCATACTTATGGTTTGGCCATCATAGATTTTATCTTAAAATTGAATCTCGACTCATGCAAATCGGTACACACATTTCATACTATGGCATCGCACCGCTCCATTCGATCCGTTCAATGGGAGCAGAGACTGAATTTTAACACGCCACTGATCCATTTATCGTAAATCTATCATCACTTTTCCATAACGGAAATTACATTTAAAGTTTAACAGATCGTCTAAGCCGATTTTAACCCAAAAAATCTCTCTACACAATTTATAATCGGATTTTTTGTTTGCAAACTCGCGAAAAAAATTTATGTTCCAGAAATATAAGCAAACAATTAAAATGTGTACTTTCTGTTTTGTTTCTCTTGCAGGCCCTGGAGCAGACAACAATTTTCCATCGAGAAAGAAAAAACTGCATAATTTGACTGGCCGGTAGAATCTGTTTTCCATTTCTGAATTACTTTACACACATCGACAAACCGAGAACCATTCGAACCACGTACAAAATATTTTCACAGGTAACATTTGCGTACACCATTTATGGGATTGCTTATGATATTTTACGGCATTTACTACGATGGTCGAAAATCGAAAACAATAAACCATTTTCCGAAACGGCTTCATGATGCTCGAGCATCAGATTTTTGAGTGCATTTTACAGATTGCCGAACACATTGCTCTCCAAATGCAATGCAAACAATACCGCACCGTAGTATTGCATCTAAACCAATCGATAGCAGCCAGTCTGCTAAAACACATGCTACACCAAAATAAAAGCAAACGAAGTAAATAAAGTTTAGAGATAGACAGAGAGAGAGAGTGTGTGTGAGAGATAGAAAAAACGCGAGTGCTGCATGAAATAATATCTGTGGGCATTTCATACACAATTCGTTCATTCGCTTGCTTATGACCGGTCATAACAATTTTCCGTTCGGATAAAAAATTCCTTCGGATACCTCCGTTCACATTGCACGTGAATAGCATTTTTATCGCGGCAGACACTCATTCCCCGTGCTCAGCATGAAAATCTGGAGCATTTTAAGAATTAACGCCAAATAATCTTTTGAGCTCTTGCGTTGTTTTTTCTTCCTCCACACTTTGCTTCTTTAAATGGAAGCAAACAACAATGTTGAACAACAAAAAAAAAACCACGTGGATAAACATGCATGGTGATAATAATTGCTTGAAGAGAATAGCGCACCAAGAGAAAATCAACCAACAACAACATCAACATAACGGATGTTTTTTCTTGTGTACCTCGTACCACGATGTAGAAAAACATACACAAAGAATGAGTGAGAAACACTGATAAACATGATTATGATTTGGATTTAGATTTTATTTATGAGATTCATGTGTTGTTGGTTGTTTGTTTCTCTATTCGTCGCCGTTGTCGTTTGCATATTCTTCGCCATGGGTGAATTACATTGGCTGTGTACACACTTCAGCCGAAAATAACTACAACTCGTGACGGCTTCGAATGAAAACGGCGGAATATCGGTATTGTGTTATCTTATGATGTGTGTGAGTTTGCATATGCCAAACGAAATATTGAAATGAGACGAGCGCGATGAGAGCCCAAGTAGAGGCACGGGCGCTAGAGAGAAAATCTCATGAAATTTGAATCGTTCTCATTCGAACAACTGTACAACAAATAATAATAAGCAAAGCTGGCTGCATTGAATAAGAATAAAATGACAATAGGTCTTTATTTCCTCAGCGTGCTACTGAATTTGATTCTGGTATTATATAAATATCGTATCACGTCGAATAATAACACCAGACTGAAATGGCAGCAACACATATATTTTTCGTCGTTATTTTCACACTCTGTCTTCTTGTTAACAATCATTGTAAAATGAAGAATGAGCCGGAGAACAATAATAATTTTTGTCAAACGATTTAGAAAGTATTTGACGGAGAACAAGAGAAGCTACACGGAGATTCAAAGCAATAAAAGATTGTGTATAAAGCGATCATCGCGCACGCTTGAGACAAAAGATGAGTGTACTGCATTTTCGCACTTCAAATACTTTAAATCGGATGATGACATTTCAAATGACGCGCATTTCCATATAGAATTCCAAGTCACTATTCAATGGCTGTTCTCACTCTACTCCGTGTGCATTTATTCACTGCCATCATCTGCTCAGCTATTTTTATTCTCTCTCTCTCTCTCTCTCTCTCTCTCTCTCGATTTTGCTTTGTTTTAATTGTTTTTGACAAACTCGGCTTTTTTCCATCCTCTTTCAACATTTTTGAATGCAGTTCAGTCCTTTCTTCTACCACATTCAATTCATTTTTTTTCCTCTCCCGCATACGTTCCATAACAAATTATTTTATGATGAATGATGACAAAATGTTGGATGATATAAATCCGAGCACATAATGTATACGATACAATAAAAATGATGTCCATTTTACATTTTACACTCTGTCTCTCTCTCTCTCTCTCTCTCTCTCTCTCTCTCTCTCTCTCTATTCAACACACAAAATAAATGCGCATGAATAATAGATTGAATGTCTTGCTCGATTTCTGGCCCATTATTCAATCGAAATGGAATTATTTATTTCTATTTGCCTATAATCGATGCCAGCGTATGTGTTCCGCGTATATGTGTGTGTAATGGCATAAAAGGCTGTGAAAATTGCAATGTACATTTTGTAATGTGTATCGCATGGAATCGGCTTTGAATTATGCTTCGAGTGCACCGGATATGCAATATATTCATATTCAAAACAGACGAAAAGTTTTATGTGTGTTGTTCGAGTGCGCAATGTGAAAGAGTCCATTACCACACATTTATGCCCGCACTAAAAATAGACTCGCTCGCATATATACGAAACGACTGTGTGAGAGAGAGAGAGAGAGAGAGAGAGAGCGTGGAAAAAGTTTGAGCCGGAACTGCAACACCATTTACTGGGCCAAAGTACGACGAAAAAAACAGCTACGTCGAGCCTTGTAAAATTATCCGTTTGGATTTCATAATAAAGTTGTCAATGTTGTTTTAATGAAAAATTTTGCATTTTGTCCCCTCTTTCCTCAGTTCGTGTGTGACGAAATGAAATTCAGATCCATATTTTAGCCAAATCTACTTGGAAATTCTCATTGAACATGCAACTTTATACGCAGTTTTTCTATTGCCATCCGCCTTTACTCCAGTCTTCTCCGTTCGTCTCATTTGGAAATCGACAAGAAAATGGACATTTTGTATTTTTAATCATCATTAAAATAATATATTTTCTACAATTTGTATTCTCATTATTTGGTTCTCATGAATACACATTTTTAAAAAAAGGGAACTCATCGTTTCCACTTGAAACAAACGGAACGCAATATTTATTGAAATTTATTCTTGATTAAAATTTCAAGTGTTTTACGTTTCATTTTAATTATATGGATTTTCGTTGATGATGATCCAAACGAAAAATAATTATGATGATAATGGGGCAGATATCACAGGATGAATGAACTATACACACACACATCTTTCGAAATTATTTATCGCTAATGAGAATTTTCTTTCTTTTTTCACTCTATTCATTTATCGTTCAACAGAATTTACCTGTGAATTGAAATGTAAAACGATGGCCGATTCCCATTGTTTTCGATAATGATAAAATCATGAATAAATCAATATATTCACCGTTTCTTCTGGTTAGCGATTTTGAATATCTCGTTTGTTTACTCTCTGCAAATCTGCATTGTGAATAATTCTCTATCTCTTGAAGAACGTCCGCTTGATCAACCACACAAACCAATTTCTTGGTATTATCAATGGTTCGACGGTGGTGTGATTGCTTGAATTATGTTGAATAGATAATTATCTCTCGCCCGCTATACCGTTCCCGAAAGCGATATGCAGTGTATTAAAATGGCTCATTGCTTACGCCATTCAGCAAACAACGAACGCAAAGGTGTATGGGAATTGTGCGTGGGGTGAAAATATGCGGTAAATTTAGCTATTGTATGAAAATAAGGACTCTGTGATTTTGCCGTGTAAATTCTTTTCACCTAGAGGCAATCGAAATGGGGCGCCAGCGCTAGCAATAGCAGCAGCGGTGGTGGTTGCTGGCCTTGCCATTCCATGTTCATTGTACGCGCATCAATTATCTCAATTCGATTTTTATTTCGGTTGATATTTTTTTTCCTCTCATTTGCTCCCTTTCTCTATATAACATTCTTTCTTCTCCATCGGCGATTCTCTGCCGTTCAATTTCGTTCTCGATAAAATGATAAAAGCGAATTTTGCCACTCGAAACTCGATGTGATTAAAAATGATGGGAAAATTGTTCGGAGTGCAATTGCTAAAAACAAATGAACAAATGAAACGAACGAATCAACGGACAGGCGAACGACGTACACACACAACCATCCATGAGAATAAACGAATTCGAATGGGAATACAGCCGGAAAAAAAACGTAGCAGCCGTGCGTTTGCCCACCGAACTGAACGATGCGAGACCGACGACCATTCCCGTTCCGTGTCTACTATATTCGCTTTCTCTCATTTTATAGATGCAATTTAACAGATAAAATCGTAAAAGCGATTTTTACATCCTTCCGAAGTGTGTTTGCGTTTTATTGTATCTTGAGCGCACGAGATCTCGCCTCGCTTCATCTCAGCTCGTCTCTTCACGTGGCTTCGTTTGCCGCTTTGCACTTTTGAATTTTAAGCCCTGTGTAAAACCGACGACCGTCTTTTTTTCCAACTAAGTATCGAGGCGATGAGAGAGCGAGATAGTCGAGAAAAAAATTAAGAGTAAATGAGAGCAAAAAAAGTAGGCGAATAGTTGCTCTTGGATGTCGTCTTTTCTTGTCGTTGTCAATGTATCAGCTTAGCGAATTTCGGTATTTTGGCCTTTATTGTTCATTGCATTGACTTTTCTTCGCTCTTTCATTTTTCACCGAATGTGTTTCTCTCTCTCTCTCCATCGTTTGCCTGCACCAACCCCATGATAAATTGGAAATAATAGTCACATTTCGGATTTTTGATGACGCTATATTTGTACTTGCACAATTTAAAATCGGAGGCGACAGTCAGTGCGAGAGGAACTGAACGATCTTGAACACCAAATGTCAGGCGCCAATAAATAGTAATTTTATCTCACATAGATTATAACGAGCACAGAGTCGTCCGTGGGACGTTTAATACAAGATGATCCAAGAGCAGTGCAAAATTTAACGTGAAATCTGTCATCGTCCGTTACGCTACGCTTGCAATACTCACACACACCGGTACACACACATCCTCAGTCACCCACTGCATCGTGTGCTCGATGGCATTGATAACGACGTCCCGATCCCTCATTCGACCCCAATGGCATAAAATGAATTTTAGATTTTATGACAAATGATTTTCTTTTTCCGATTGTTATTGTTTTTTGTTTCATTTGGTGCCCCTTTCGACTTTAAGCCATTCGTTAAAGTTTTTCCAGCGTTCAAGTGCAATTTGGCCGATTTTTATGGGTTTTGTTTCTCGTTTTATTCGCTCATTTGGCCGGAAATCTGATGAAC